AAACTTCCAAGCCGTCAGGCGCCCCTAGTGAAGTTGTTGAAGCATCCTTTGAAGCTATCTCCAAACTTTGTCCGCCCTTTGCCTACATCGATAGATCTGTTTTGCTCTCTGACATGAAGGCAGAAGACACACGTAATCCCAACATCTGCGCGTGGTTGGACGATCCAGTCTCTCTTGACGAGATGCATTATGCAATTGCCACGGCTCGTAAGAAATCAGCCCCCGGGTTGGATCAGGTTAGTTATGATATGCTGGACTCCTTGCCCGCGGATCATCAGGTACGCCTTCTTTCTTTATTTAATGAAATTTTCTCACAAGGCATTTTTCCCGACTCATGGAAAGACTCTCTCGTTGTCTTAATTCCTAAAGCTGGCAGCAAAGAGGTTAGACCTATTTCATTGATGTCATGTGTCTGTAATCTCATGGAAAGGATCTTATTTTGGAGACTGGTCTGGTTCATTGAATCTCGGCCTATTCTCCCTCAGTCTCAAGCGGGTTTTAGACCATTCAGATCCTGCGATGACAATCTTGCTGTTCTGACTACAGTTATTAAAACCGGCTTCTTAGAGCGCTCCTCTACCATCGCTGTGTTCTTGGACATAGCAGGGGCATTTGACAACGTGGACCCGTATCTTCTCTTACTTGACCTGGCTGACATTGGTGTGCCCGCGTTATTTAGAAAATTTGTCGAAAATCTAATTAGTCGTCGATCTCTATCCTTTGTGGTTGACGGAGAGATTCAGGGACCCTTTTGCGCATATAAAGGCACTCCCCAAGGATCCACCTTGAGCCCTTTGCTTTTTGATATTTATCTCAAGGACATTGATCAACAATTACATCCGGAAACGCATTTTCTTCAATATGCTGATGATGTTGTTCTTTACTCCTCGCATCGCGATCCTGCTGTCGCCATGGAATCTATTCAGGAATCACTTAATAACATTTTTAAGTATCTTAGATTCAGAAACCTCGAGGTGTCACCTCAAAAATCCAAGTGGATAGCTTTCTCGCAGGGTGAGAGTCCCAGGATTTCGGCGAATTTCATTGATGGTAGGGTCATTCCTGGAGTTCAAGCACATCGGTTCTTGGGTGTCATTCTTAATCGGAATCTCAAGGGTAAGGATCATTTAAAGTATCTCATTGAAAAGGGCAGAAAGATATCCAATGTAATCAGCTCTTTGTCCGGCATTATCTGGGGCTCCCATCCCGGCCTCCTTCTCCTCCTTTATAGATCCACCTTTCGCAGCGCAGTCGAATACGGATGTCAATTTTTCGTTTGGAGTCCCTCTTCTGCGGACTCCGTTAAATTACAACGACTTCAGTACCGAATCATCAGGAAAGCTATGGGATATCGCATATCCACGCCCATAAATGTCATGTTAGCCGAAGCCAAAGAACAATCTTTTAGTATTAGACTTAACTTGATTGCCTCTAAGTTTATTTACAAAGCTATGGTTAGTAAATTTAGCCCAGTTTATCGAACTTTGGAGGAAATGGAGATCGTCGCCACAAGGAAAAAGAGGAAAATTGATGCTATTAAAGGATCCAGACTTTTCAAACAATATGTGACCACTCGTGCTGAGAAACGCTCTGTTTTTCGATCCACCTTCCCTCCGGTCTTTTGGTACTATTATGAGATTTTCTCTCTGGAGCTGAACTACGTCAATGATATGAGGGATTGTAAAGATAAGGACAACAAACTTTTTATGAAGGCCTTCTTTTTCCATGCATCTTTCAGTTTAGACAAAATGCCACTTCTTTCTATACTGATGGTTCTAAGGATGAAGGCTGTGCAGGAGCCGCTGTCGTTTCTCCTGAAATGAATGGTGATATCAGACACAAACTTCCGGCCAACACGTCCATCTTTTCTGCCGAGCTTTGGGCTATCTACCAGGCTGTCCAGACGATTATGGATCTCGATATCTTCAGAAGCGTTATATTCTCAGACTCTAAAAGTGCATTGGAGGCGCTTTGCAACCCTCAGGGAATCCATTGCAACTACATTATTTATTATATTAAAAAAGCGTTTTATGAAATTCAAAAGCAGGGCAAGTCAGTCACACTGTTTTGGGTGCCGGCTCACGTCGGAATTCCTGGTAATGAAGCTGCGGATCTTGCCGCCAAGGATGCTGCGATTAATGGATTCAAGCCCCCCTTCAGGGTGCCATATGAGGACATGTTGGCTGAATCAACAGCCCAAGCCAAGAGACAATCTGTTGAATCAATGAAAGTGGTCTCAGCCATCAAGGGCACGTTATACTATGAGAATTTTTATTCACAATCCAAGCATACTTAGTTTCATAATTTCCATATTTCAAGAGAAAAAATTATTCATGTCAACAGAATAAGATCTAACCACATAAACGTTAACGAAAGCCTCTATAGAGTTAATATGACGGAATCTCCGGTCTGCGAGTGTGGAGACCCTCGTCAATCCATAAATCACCTTATATTCCATTGCGACAAATATAGTAACAATTCTACTCCAATAAGAAATTTTATCGCTAATAAATTTCCAGACTCCCCTCAAAACCTTCTCCCTGCCCTTAATCCCCCCTCCCCCAAAATCTGTCGCCTACTCCTGGCTTTTATGAAAGCCAACGAGTTATTCTTTTAAATTTTCCCCTCCTCCCTGTCCTTTGGCGCGCTGCTCGCTATAGAGGGGCAGCAGGCGGACGGTCATAGGTGCGGCCCCCCCACTATCTCTCCCCCCCCAATTATATCGATGCCATGCCTGGCAACCGCCAAGGACTATTCCCGTAGAACATCAATGGCCTAGTTACAATCAGTTGGTTGCCTGGCCAATAAAAGTAAGAAGAAGACGGCTTGATTAATGGCCCTCTTTGACGAGGTAAACTTTGCCAGAATGCCACACGGCGACAATGGGCGACAATGGGTGACAATGGACGACAATGAGTGACAATGGACGACAATGGACTTCTTCTTCTTGACTTGATAGCTGCCTCTCAAACGGAGGCAATACGGCCAGATAATGCAAAGTACAGTAAAAGTCGGCGATACTTTCAAAAATATATTGGTGTAAAGCACCCGATCCAAAGCGTCCGTCGCGATCGAGAGGTTTTTCGGAACTTGGCGTGGCGACAATGGAGTAATGGACGACAACGACAACGACACAAGAAACAAACAAGACTCACGAACTCATACACTTGAAGGCGCACGGCGCAAGCGCGTGGGGTGGGGGAGCCTCCTAAACAACGACGGCAGTTTAAGGACGTTCACCGGCTAATCGATTTCTATACAAAATGCTTCAAATTTTAACTACATGCTATTAATATCATTATCGATGTGTCCTCCAAAATTCAGAAAATTTAGCGGTACCGAATTCGAGTTATTAATTTTCAAAGTTGCAGCTTTTAACATGTAAGGTATAGCCCAAGCGTGCGCTCAAGTTACATTTCAATTCATAGCGACTGTGATATCTATACGATTGTTCTAAAAAATTAGTATGTGATGCAGGACGATGCTAGAAATAACATAAAAAAAAATGGGGATCCTTAGCCGTGCCGTTGTTGAGTTATCGAAGTTTGAAGTGGTGTATCCGACAGCACTTCGAAATAAGTCGCCACATGGAAGGAAAGGTGCTGCTGAGATGCGGCAACGCCGCGCTCCGCCATCCACCTCGTGCGCGCAGCAGATGTACGTATACAGGGTGGCCAATTTATCTGAAGACATTGAAATATCTCGAGAACTATACATAAGATAAAAAAAGAAGTGCAACGAAAGTAGCTCGACACGAAGGGGGGAATCCAATGATACCAAACTCGGCCCCTACCGCCCCCCGGGGGCGGGGTGGGGGTGGGGGACATAAGAAACTTAAATAGGAACCCCAATTTTTTATTGCAGATTTGGATTCTCCAGGAAAAAGTACGCCAAGTTGACCTACGAACTTTAACATTTTGGTTCACAGGTGGCGCTGTAATCGATAAAAATCCAAATTTATCAGAAGACATTGAAATAACTCGAGAACAAAAAAAAGGTGGCTAATGAAACTTGTTCGCTTTAAAAGCTGCCTTCCAAA